TTTATGTTATATTTAGCACAGAATAACTCCTCATCCTTTTACTTTATGTAGTACACCGGTACATCATGAAATACTGTGACCACCAAAGACACACACACACACACACACACACACACACGCTCCCCACTGGGACATGGTTGCTTCACTATTCGATTTGAGAATGTTTTTGCTCTCAGACTGATTGATGCTAGATGACCGTGCACAAGCAGAGCCCCCCTTCTTCCCCTCAAAGGTATCAGATGTACATTTCCATGAAAAGAAAAAACAAAAGCATGGACACTTACATCATTGTACCTTGGCTCTCTGTGATGTGCTTCACCACATCTCCTGCCAACCCCAGCCCTCACATGTCAGTCAGCCACTGCCATGAGAAACGCCCACCCACAGGCATGAAGCTTAGGCTCTGCCTTCACCGATTCAGTATGTCCCAAAACTATTTTATCCTGTTAGTAGTGGCAGTATCCTAGAATTTGTATTTCCATGCACAGGTGTGTTTAAGACCACCTTGTTGCATCCGATCTGGAGGAGAAGTTGAAAGTCTGAAGCTGCTTCTAGACTAAATGCAACAATTTTAAATTAATGAACAAAATGTACATGCAAGTTATATAAACAAGAAGTCCAAACTAAGACTAATTCAGCTCTTTATATAAAGTTCTGAACTGTGAGTTCTAGCTGGCCCCAGGGTAAGAGGCCTGGACGCTGCAGAGAATAACATGCAGTCCATGACTTGTTCTACAGCCTGCTTCTTATATAACGGTAATCACTGTGGTGAAATTCAGATGCCAACGCTGCTGACACTTATCTGCCAGAGCGACAGTGTTTGAATCTTAATTTTTAAATGTTATTTTTAGGCTTCAAAAGATTTGCATGTAAGCACAGGGAGAAAATGTCCTGCTGGCATTTTTTACATTACTACATTAACATAAATGTTTAGAACATCGGGATTAGGATCTTTTTCATTCTTGAAATTTGAGATTTAGAGTGTAGGCAGATGTAAAGGGGAGTGAAACACTGTACAAACGGACATGCTGGGGCTGAAGCCAGCTGCAGACTAAAGCCCCGGTGGAAACGGTTGCCAGCTTGGTGTCTTTCCTGTCTGTGTCCCTGGGCTTCAGTACACAGTTTGAAGCAGGCTAAGCTGCATGGCGACGGAGGCTTTTTGAGTGCCAGGTTCCCATTCACACTGATCACACATTAGACTGATCAAATCAGACTCCAGGCCTGCTTCCTGACTAACTCAATTTGCTCTCATACGCTTCCCTTTTCATGCTGAGCACATGCACGCACACGTTTACACACACAGAGGTTTAAACATGTGCACGCAAAACAGAAAACCAACAGAGAGCAGGGCAGTACCCAATGAGCTCTAATGAAAAGCAGAAAAAGCTGTTACCTTGGCAACTGCCAGCATACATCTTCAGGAGGACCCAGATTTCCTGTCTGACTGCAATTGTATTGTTTTGGTACTCTTTTGATAGTCATGGCATCCCTAGATGGATTATCTCACCGCTGGCAAGAATTTACACTAAATCATGGCGAATTAAGCACCAGCCATGCTGGCAATCTTCAGTCACAGATTTAACACCTCTGACTCTGAGACCCCAAACTCCTGAAACACACATGTAATCAGTGATTTAATCTTAGCCTTAAGCTACTTTCTCCTCTACAAATTCAGCTGTAGAGTCCGTCTATGGGGAGAAGGCTGCTGCCAAAAGTAGAGGATCATGGGAATTAAAATGTGTGATTTATCCAAATTAACCTCTAACATACAAAGAGGTATAGTCGCTGAGGTTTCAATGAATGTGTTGATTATGACAAGCATTTTTAACCCTGCACCATGTGTATAACATGAATTAAAATGGAGAGAGAGCTGCCATCAAAACACTAAAGCCGCATCATTTTTTTTTCTACAGTACAGTGTACTCAGTATTAACATGATATACAGTATTTGATTGAACACAGCATTCTGGTCGACACTGTTCTCATCATTATTGTCCTCATCACCATCACCATAATAAGATTATTATAATTATTATAATTGCCTGTGCAGTGTTTGTTATCTGTGTATGTTGTTCCAAACAGGAAACAATCAGACCCCCAGATGTGATTTCTCAGTGTCTGAAAATGCAGGGGAGCTTGGAGGAGGGGCAGAAGATTTACCTTTATAGACCTGTGGAGGTGCTGCGTGTAATTTAACCAAACACCACAAAGACAGACTACCCCACCTCAAGGCAAAGGTTTCTCTGTGGTTAAATAACACAGGGGGTAATTAGCTGTGTCTGCAGGATGTTCTTGTAGGTGGCTGTTATTCTATTCTAAATTTTAGCAACAACCAGGAAATGCAAAATTGAATTGATTATTTCTCATATTATATCCTAATATAAAACCTTTTTTTCCCAAATGTCTTGTAACTATGAGCACAGAGGTTCTACGTTTAAATAGTTTTGAAAAGTGTCATTATCCAGAGATTTCTGTTTTTGTGCAGGGCTCAGGTGGGAAAAGGTGATGTCACCTATTTCAAAGCACCAGACTTGAGAAACATTTAAATTAATATTGTGGGGTGAGTTTCCTGTTTTGATTGTTAAACTCTTAATAAATACATTTGACCTTAAAATTGAATAAAGAAAATAAATAAAAGAAATGGTTCAAATGTAAAATTTTCAGTGCCCCACCATTTTTATAACATTGTCAGAATTACAGTGGACAGTATTCTTTCTCAAAACCATGTGCCTACATTACCCATGGTGCAACTCGACCACAGATAGCCCTATAGGAGGGTCAGGTGTGTTATACTAGTAGAGGCTAGTGTAGCTGAGATGACGAGTGGGCCACAGAGGTCTGGTAAGCTCCTTTGGTGCTTGCCTGCACTGACACTGACTCAAGTGACATCACTTGAGAGTTTATCAGACGTCTGCCTCAAAAGACTTTCTACAGTTTGGGGTAATATTCCCCAACACCTCTAAACAGACTGTGATGTGTAAATTGGTGGAGTTCCCCTTTTCTCAAAATATTATTGCATGGGTTTTTAAATCAAATTCTGTTAATGTTGAACATTTTAATATTGTCTCACTTGATGATTACCTGATTGGAGCTAATCGTTTGTTTTGTCTGTGATTCATCACTTGGCTGTTGCACCTCTAGTGCTTCAGTGTGTCAAATAGTCAAATGACTCTTAACACCTTTAATGACTTAATAGCAGCACATTTCTTCAGTTGTGTAAAATACAGACCTTTACTTTGGATGAGTAACTTACTGCTACTGGATTCTCTGTTGCTTGCCCAAAGTAAGTAAAGTATAATAAAAGAAGGCTAAATTCATATATAAATTTGAATTAGTCATTGTTGACAGGCTTTTTAGCCACCAAGGCCTCCAGTGTCAGTCAAAGAAAAAGAATTGTTGAACAATTGATACAGTAAAGCCTATAGTGCTAATTAGTGACTGATGGCATACTAATACATTGTACTAAGACTGTGAACACGGTACACTTTTAGCCATGCCAGCAACATGGCACTAAGGATAGCCATGCTGAGTTGTCAGCTGGTCCAGACTGTACTGTCTCAAGACACCAAACTAAAATGGTGACCTCTGTAACCACCAACATGTTAGCATTGTCATTCTGTCATTTTTTCATATGCTAACATTAGCATGTAGCTCAAATCACCACTGTGTTTTACAGCCTCAGAGCTTCTGTCCTGCATGTAGACTGTTGGTCCTCTTATCGCAACTTATATGTTTATAGCTGTTATTTATAGCAGTTTAACTTCCATCGGAGTTTACTTTTTGATATGTATTATTCTATTTGCTGGTCGTGTAATGTTGTTGACTGTAAAATGTCCCTGTACATATCTTTGCCACAGTTTTTTGACCACCAAGTTGAGAAGTATATTATCGGCTATCTGTCGGACGGCTGACTTTTCATCCCAGCAGGTTAGAGAGTTTGGCAGCAGGACAGGGTTCTTAACAAATGCGATTACAGTCTCTGCATGATGGATTGTCTGTGCTCTTTGCTGTAATTTGCCTTCTCCAGTCTTAATCCCAGTAAAAGCACATGAAGAAATAGCTAAAAATGTGAAAGGATCCAGATTGTGGTTTGCCCTTGGTTCATTTTGTTTTGCTAAGCTTTCCAAGCCTCAGGCTTTGGCTATTACATGTCACCATCTGTCTCCTTATGCACATAAGTCTGTGCATTTTGTATTACCTCCTGCCTCTCAGTGAAAACCAGCACATTTAACTTGCAGGAGGACAGAAACTTGAAAATGCTGTTGTTATTTTGTGCCACTTGGTTTTAAACGGTATTGCCATCCCCTGGACAGATATACCAAACTAAATTTAAAAAATGCCTTTAGGGAGTTTTGACACACCATTTCCAAGTTGTTTAGTGCAGAGCTGAAATGATTAGTAAATTGCCAATTCGTTAATTATTCCAGTCAGTTTTCAAGCAAAAATGCTAATCTCTTTGTACTAGCTTGTTAAAATTGGGGATTTTCTGCTTTTCTGTGTCTTATATGAAAATAAGAAATAGTGATGGACAAGTCGATGGTACTCCATAACAAATGTATTTGTTAGTTCCTCTTCTAGTCTGGTGTTAAAGTGCCTTTAACTTTAGTGTGAAAAGTTGTACATCTTCTCCCTGCTGCAGTCTCTCATAATTTGTATCCCATAAATAAGCAGGTCATCACACTGTATTTGGCTTTACTTCCTGTTTGTCTAATTTTTTGCAGTAAGACTGATCCATTGTCCCGGTGGTGCTGCTAGCAGGCTAGTCTTAGCTAATATCTCCTGAGGTGGGTATCCATCTTGGAAAAGAGTTCATATTTGATGAATATCTGGTTTTAATACACAGGTAAATACTTTGCAGTAGAATGTTAGAGATAAGGATGAGAAGTAGAGGCCTAAGACCCAGCAGATCCAGCAGACCCAGACAGCTTTCACCAATCCTAAACTGGATCATGAGCCAACATCTACTGATGTCATTTTCTCCTCTTCCTCCTCCTCCTCAGACGGCCTATAAGCTCTGGCTGTGTGCTCTGTATTTCCCCACCACCCAGCAGTCCTGTCCGAAGAAGGTACCGTGCCATCAGTACTGCCTGGAGGTCCAGCAGAGCTGTCCATTCATCCTGCCCGACAACGACGACCTGATCCATGGCGGCAGCCCCAGCTTCATCTGCACAGGTTAATACACTGTCCAGTCTTGTTTCAACCAGCAGCAGATAGGTTGCGTGTTTGCATGTGTTGGTATTTGTGTGGCCTTGCATTCTCTTCAGAGGAAACCTCCTCATGTAATTAATGAATGACGTTTTAAAAAAGGGTGCACAGTACTGATTCATTCAGAATGTCTCTCCATGTTGACTGGATGGTGTTGCTCTAGGAAAACACAGAGGTGTTTCTAAAGGCCTTCTGATGACATCTAGTGGTGTGTTTGGGCATAGCCAAGCTCAAACAAGGACGGTTTAATAATGCGTTGATGAATTGACTGTAGCTTGTCTGTCAGTGTTTACTGCAGTTCATACAGCAGTAATCACAAAGGGCTTTACCTCAGAGGACTAGAAGCTCCTGTACACCAACACACACATTATCTGTGGGAGATAAGCAACGCAGCAGCACCAGCTTAAAGGCCCACACAGATGTTCTCAGTTAATCTGCTCAGGTTCATCCTGGGAATTATGTGAGGTCACCAAAATTTAATGAGCTAAAGGGCTGTGAAAACAATATTTGTGTGTGAAGGAGGGTCGGAACAGCTGATCATGCAATTAAATATGTATTATCAATTTTTCTGGCTCTCCTTCATAGAGTCTGAACTATTTTTTCTCAATTACTGATACATTTCTAATCTAGAACTGAGCTTTATCCCTGCCAAGATCAGCTCTGTGCCTTAGTTCAGCGAGAACTAAGTGAGCTTGTCCCTCAGCAGTCTGGTTTTCCCTGTGCAGATTAGTGCAGTGACAGCCGCCTTTACATGCTGACTTTCAGAGTCATGATCTGATCCAGTGGTGCATCGCCCTCTGTGTGGTCATGGTCTTTAATTTAACCCTAAACTATGTCGTGATTAAAGCCACACGCTGAGGACTAGCGATCCGTCTACAGAAGGAGGGTCAGCGTTGATGACATAACCATCACTGCGCTACATTTAAATTACTTCGTGCTAATCAGGCTGTTCATTCAGATGCTCTACTTTCATTTCATCCCACCATGTCTTTTAAAGAACTTGTACCTTTACTGTATCAGTTTAGTTGTTTATCGGTGTGATACAGTATTAACAAGTCATATATAATATACAGTCTTATGCAAAAGTTTAGGCACCCCTTGATAAATAACAGATTTTGGTGATTTTTTATTTGAACAGATGTTAACACAGTTTCTCTTGGAAATGGAAAAAATGCACAATATTTTCAGCAAACAGTGATGCATAGTTACTTCTTATGCCATAAATTGAACAAAAATAAAAAATAAAAACATTATTATGGCATGGTGCAAAAGTTTGGGCACCCTACACAATCAGTACTTAGTAACACCTCCTCTGGCAGATATCACAGCTTGCAAACGCTTTTCATAGCCAGCTAAAAGTCTTTCAATTCTTGTACTTGGGATCTTCTCCCATTCTTCCTTGCAAAAGGCTTCTAGTTCTGTAATATTCTTTGGTCGTCTTGCATGCACAGCTCTTTTAAGATCTACCCACAAATTTTCAATGATGTTTAAATCAGGGGACTGTGATGGCCATTCCAAAACCTTCAGCCTGCGTCTCTTGAGGTATTCCATAGTGGATTTCGAGGTATGTTTAGGATCATTGTCCTGTTGTAGAAGCCATCCTCTTTTCAGCTTCAGCTTTTTTACAGATGGTGTGATGTTTGCTTCCAGAATTTGCTGGTATTTAGTGGAATCCATTCTTCCCTCCACCCGTGCAATGTTTCCTGTGCCACTGGCTGCAACACAACCCCAGAGCATGATAGATCCACCCCCATGCTTAATAGTTGGCAAGGTGTTCTTTTCATGAAATGCTGCTCCTTTTTTTCTCCAAACATGCCTTTGCTGATTGTGTCCAAAGAGTTCTATTTTAACTTCATCAGTCCACAGCACTTGTTTCTAAAACGCATCGGGCTTCTGTAGATGTCCTGTTGCATACTTCAGACGTTGGATTTTATGATGGGGACGCAGATAAGGTTTTCTTCTGCTGACTCTTCCATGAAGGCCTTGTCTGTGCAAGCATCGCTGCACAGTGGAACGGTGCACCACCACTCCTGAGTCTGCTAAATCTTCCTGCAGGTTTTTTGCAGTCAAATGGGGGTTTTGATTTGTCTTTCTGACCAGCATACGAGCAGTTCTGTCCGAGAGTTTTCTTGGTCTTCCAGATCTCATCTTGACCTCCACAGTTCCCCTGATCTGCCATCTCTTAATTACATTTCTTACTGTGGAAACTGCAAGCTGACAACGCTTTGCTATCTTCTTGTAGCCTTCTCCTGCATTGTGGGCATCAATAACTTTCACTTTCAGGGTCTTACACAGCTGCTTAGAGGAACCCATGGTTGCTGGGTGTCCACAAGTGTGTGCACAAGGTTTGAAGAGTCAAAGTATTTGTACAGCTTTGAAATTGGCATTTACCAATGACAGCTGTTGCTGTGCATCAGATCTAACGAGCTGATTAAGGTCTGATACCTTGTGAGAGACTTTGAGACTCTGGAACTCTTAGGGTGCCCAAACTTTTGCACCATGCCATAATCATGTTTTTATTTTTTATTTTTGTTCAATTTATGGCATAAGAAGTAACTATGCATCACTGTTTGCAGAAAATATTGTGCATTTTTTCCATTTCCAAGAGAAACTGTGTTAACATCTGTTCAAATAAAAAATCACCAAAATCTGTTATTTATCAAGGGGTGCCTAAACTTTTGCATAAGACTGTACACAGTATAATTTTGTTTATGTCACATATTGCCACTGAGTGCAATGCTGCATTTAAATGTACAGGACTGCTTTATGGCATTATTAACCTTCACCATCACTTTATATTGCTGTCATGGAGATCCTTTGTGTTTCAGATGTTTAATTTGCTGGATTAGCCAAGCTCCACAAACCATTTCTCATTTAATTTATTTGAAAATTAACAATATCTTAATATATATTCACAATATAAAATTTAATAAACCACGATAGAGGATTCTTTCTGTATCACCCACTCTAACAAATTGATGTTTTCCACTTCCGATTTAATGGTTATTACCTTGAGACGCTGCAGCT